GATACCAAATTTCTTTTTCAAGAAGATGAAAAGGAAAATTATCAAGTTTATTTGAAAAGGCAAGAGACTCCAAATAAGCAAAACACTTCTGATAAACAAAAATGAGATCGGAGGCATAGAACTCCCTGACCTCAAAACCTAGTACACAACAGTAAAAATCAAAACAGCATAGTACTGGTTCCATGACAGGCACACAGACCAATGGAACTGAATTAAGAACCTAGAAATAGACCCAGTTGTCTATGATCAACTGATACTAAACAAGGAAATAAAATCTATCAAATGGGGAAATGACAAACTTTTCAAATGGTGCTGGTAAAACTGGACTGCGACCTACAGAAAGTGGAAACAGAATCCGTATCTCAAACCATACAAAAAAGTCAACTCAGGGTAGATCGGAGAGCTGGAAGTAAAGCCCAAAACCAGAAAGTTCGTAAGAGACAAATTGAGATCAAACTTAGAAGGCCTAGTCTATCGTATAAAAGGACTGCCAAATATGACCAGAAATGCACAATCTGAAAAGAATAAAACTAATGAATGGAACCTTCTAAAGATTAAATCCCTGTGTGCATCAAAAAAATTTTCAACAGCATAAAAACAAACAAACAAGCAAAAACCCCTACCAACTGTGAACAGACATTTGGAAATAGCATCTTAGACAAGAGATGTATAATGAAAGTTTATAGAATACTCCTGGACCTCTACAAGAAAAAATTGATAACCCAATTACTAAATGGGAAAAAGACATGGAAAGATTTTTCACAGAGGAAGATATTCAAACGGCCAACAGACACATGAAGAAAGGCTCAAAATCACTGGCAATAAGAAAGATAAAAATCAAAACCACAATGAGATACCATCTCACTCCAGTAACAGTGGCAAAGTTTAACAGGACAGCAAGTAGAAAATGTTGGAGAGGATGTGGTGAGATAGGAACTCTTTTGCATTATTGGTGGGATTGTAAAACTATTCTGGAAGGTAGTTTGGCAATTTCTCAACAAGCTGAACATAGGTATTTCTATGACCCAGCTATTTCACTGCTTGGAAAATACCCCAAGAAAAAAAGGATTGAGGCTCAGAGACACCAATGTTAATAGGAGTGTTATTCACCATCACAAGAACATGGAAACAGCCACAGGTCCAACCACAAACAAACGCATTGAAAAGTTGTGGTACATTCATACACTGGACGCAGGAGCAATCATTTTTGCAAATTACTACCTGACTTGGGAGGAACGGCAGAGCATTATGCTGAGTGAACTAAGTCCCACAAGGACAAATACTGTATAAAACCATTATTGTAAAATGAGTATGATGATCCAAAGGGGGGTGGGGGAAGGCGGAAGCAGAGGGGTGAGGATGGGTGGGGATGGGATGTTAATCATAGGGCTGTATAATTTAAGGGACTGGGGAGTGTGAAGGCAATGGGATGGATCTTGTGTGATAAAAATGCATTCCAACTTTGTAAATCAATCAGTATAAAAATAACAACATAAAAAATTTAAAAATGTTTCATTGAAGGCCTTTTCTGCATCAACTGACAGGACCATGTGGTTATTGTTCTTTGCTCTGTTAACGTAACTAATTCTGTTTATTATTTTTCTCTTATTGAACCAATCTTTCATACCTGTTATGAGTCTGTCTTCCTTCCTTCCTTCCTTCCTTCCTTCCTTCCTTCCTTCCTTCCTTCCTTCCTTCCTTCCTTCCTTCCTTCCTTCCTTCCTTCCTTCCTTCCTTTCTCTCTCTCTCTCCCTCTCTTTGTAATTTAAGTACAACTGGTGATAGATCCTCTCTGAATGTTTGGTAGAACTCAGCTGACTTTTTTGGGAGGTGGTCTTTTTCATCCCTACCTGATTAAAACACTGAGCAAAACAGGAGTAGAAGGGAATTTCTTCAACATAGAAAAAACATATGCACAAAACCAAGAACCAATATTATTCTCAATGGAGAAAGACTAAATGTGTTTCCTTTGCAAACAGGGACCTGACAAGGATTCCTGCTTTCACCATTTTTATTCAATACTGCATTTTAAGAAGTACTTGCTAGGGCAATAAGACAAGTGACGGAAATAAGAGGAATACAGATAGGCAAAAAGGTGGTAAAATTGTCACTATATGCACATGATACGATAGTGTACACAGAAAGCTCAACAAAGGATTCAACAAAAAGACTATTAGACTTAAAAGACCAATTTCGTAGAGGGGCAAGATACAAGATCAATATAAAAAAGTCAGTGGGATTTCTTCAAACAATGAAAACACAGACAAAGAAACTAAGAAAGTAATATCTTTCACAACAGTCAACCACAAATTGAGATACTTGAGAATAAATCTAATTAGATATAAAAGACCTTTATAAAGAAAAGTAGAAAGCAGTACTATGAGAAACCTAACTAAAGGGGAAATGTTCCTTGTTCATGGAAAGGAAGACTCAAAACAGTGAAAATAACAATCCTACCAAAACCCATCTACATGTTTAAAACAATCTCAATACAGATACCAAATTAATTTTACCAAGAGACAGAAAAACTAACTGGCAAATTTATTTGGAAAGGAAAGAGACCTCAAATAAACAAAGCACTTGTGAAAAGTAAAAATAAAGTAAAATAAAATAAAGTAAAAATAAAGATCTCAATACCTTTTGTTGTTGTTGTTGTTGTTATATGCGATCGGGCTGCCTGTGACTCACAATGACACTACGTACATTAGCTCTGAAACCTGCCCTATCCTTAGCTGATCTCATTATCTCCAACAGACCTACTCCCATAGCTTCAGTCACTGAATCATCCATCTCATCCTGGTTGTTCTCCTACGCTGTCCCTCCATCTTCCAAGCATGACGTCCTACTCCAAGGATTGTTCCCTCCTGGACACATGCCCAAGTATGTGAGATGAAGTCTCATAATCCTTGCCTCCAGGGAACAGCCTGGTTTCACCCTCTCCTGGACAGACTTGTTTGTTCCTCTAGCAGTCCATGGTAGGTTCAACACTCTTCTCCAGCACCACAACTCAAAGGCATCAATCCTTCTTTTATCATCCTTAGTTATTGTAATCTCTCTAATGCATAGGAAGTAATTGTGAAGACCATGGCCTGTATTAGGCACACCTTATTCTCCATACTGACATCGCTGCCATTCAGTACACTAGAGAGGTCCCTGACAAAGACTTTTTCAATGCAATTCGTCCTTTGATTTCCTGCCTGCTATTGCCAAGAGTGTTGACTGTGGAGCCAAGCAAGTTGAAATTATCAACAATCTCAATCTCTCCTCCATTCATCGTGAAGCTGCCAACTGGCCCATTCATCATGAAGCTGCCAACTGGCCCAGTGGTGAGAATCTTTGTTTTCTTGATATTGAATACCAATCCATATTGAAGACTACAGTCCTTGACCTGTTGCAACAAACACCTCAAGTTCTTTTCAGTTTCAACTAGTAAGGTTGTGTCATATGCATAACACAGATTATTGATGAACGGTTTTCCAATCCTGGTATCATATTCCTCCACATAAAGTCCACCCTCCCCACTACATATAGATTGAAAAGACATGGAGATAGGATGTATCCCTAATACACAGCTTTTCTGATTTTGAACCATGCAGTGCTTTCCTGTTCTGTTCTTACTACTGCTTTCTGGTCCAAGTATAGGTTTCACATGAACACAATTAAGTGTCCAGATGTAATAACCAAAGCAGTATGGTACTGAGGCAATGCCAGATTAGACCAATGGAGCAGAAATGAGAACCCAGAATTTAACTCATTTACCTATTGTCAACTGCTTTTGACAAGGAAACAAAATCAGTCAAATGACCAAATGAAAACCTTTTTAATAAATGAAACTGGTAAAACTGAACCTCTACATGCAGGAAACTGAAGCAGGATCGACATATCCTACTGTATGGAAAAATCAACTAAAGGTGGATCAGAGACCTAGGTAAAGCCCAAAACCATAAAGGTCATAAAAAACCAAAATGTGACTATATTTAGAAGGCCTAGGCTATGCTATAATTAAACAAACACAGCCAAAAATGCACAATCAGAAAAGGATAGCATCAACGAATGGGACCATCTAAATAAGAAGTACCTGTGTGTATCAAAAACTTTTCCTGTAGGGTGAAAAGAAAACCTATAGACTGGGAAAAAACATTTGACAATGGCATCTCAGACAAGAGGCTCATAACAAAAGTTTACAGAATACTACAGGGCCTCCACAAGGAAAAGACTGATAACCCAAATACAAAATGGGCAAATGACATGTAAAGACTTTTCATAGAGGAAGACATTAAGAAGTGCTCAATATCCAGCAATAAGAAAGATGCAAATGAAAATCACAATGAGATACCATCTCATCCCAGTGGGAAAGTTTAACAAGATAGTAAACAGCAAATGATGGAGAGGATGCGGAGGGATTGGAATTCTCACACACTGCTGGTGGGATTGAAAATGGCACAAACACTCTTTAAGGAAGTTTGATGTTTCCTCACAAGTTGAACACAGATATTCCCTATGATCCAGCTATTCTACAGTGAGGAATATACCTCAAGGAAAACAGAAATGAGAGTCAAATGGAGGTTTGTACACCAATATTCATAGCAGCACTATTCAGAATAGCAAGAAAACGGAAAAAGCCCAAACATCCATCAACAAATTAGTGGATTGAGAAACTGTTCACACTATAGAATACCATGTAGAACTAAGGAGGAACAATTTTGAAAAATACTATATATATAGTAGGAGACCATAATGCAGAGTGAAGTAACTCAGTTTTATAAGGACAAATACTGCATAAGACCATTATTGTAAAAATAGAAGGATAACTAGTAAGGTGTATAAAAGTTCAAAGGCAGATAATATATTTAGAAAACCCTAAAAACTCAGCAAGAAAACTATTGAACATAGTTGACTAATTTAGCAAAGTGGCAGGATACAAGATCAACAAAGAGAATACAGAACTGGAGTGAAGAAAAATAATACCTATCATAATAGCTAACCACAAGACTGAATACTTGGGAGTAAATCTAACTAGAAACACAAATGATTTATTCAAAGAAAATTACAAAACAAGAAATAAAAAGAGACCTGGAAAAATGGAAGAATATATCTTGCTCATGGATGGGAAGAGTCAATGACAATCCTACAAAAGGCAATATACACGCTCAATGCAATCTCAATACAAATACCAAAACCATTCTTCAACAAGATGGAAAAGGCAATCTTCACTTTCACTTGCAATGGAAAGAGAGTCCGAATAAGCAAAGCACTCCTTAGAAACAAGGTAGGAGGCATCTCACTCCCAGATATCAAATCTTACTACACTGCCTTGATGGTCAAGACAGCATGGTACAGGTACAATTACAGACACATAGATCAATGGAATAGAATTGAGAAGCCAGGAATCAGCCCATCTACCAATGGTCAATGATTTTTTAAAAGGAGATAAAATCCATTAAGTGGGGAAATGACAGCCTTTTTAACAAATGGTGCTCACAAAATTGGAAAACTATCTGTAGAAAACTCAAACAAGACCCACACCTCACATCATGCACAAAAACCAACTCAAAGTGGATCATGAACCTAGGACTAAAACCAAGGACTATAACTACATTGGAGAAAAGCTTGAAAGAACCCTAGAAGCACTATATACAACATGAACAGTCTTCCAAGCACCCTAAAAAAAAAAAAATCTACAACCAGGAGAAGATAAAATAAATGAATGGGACCTTCTAAGAATCAAATCCCTATGCACATCCAAAACCCTCTCCAACCGGGTGAAAAGGGAAGCCACAGACTGGGAAAAAAATATTTGGTCATGACTTATCTGACAGGTGACTTATATCTAGAATTTATAGAATAGTTGAGCACCACAACAAGATAAAGGTAAACAATCCAATTGAAAAATGGGCACAGGATATGAACAGACACTTCACCAAAGAAGACATTCAGATAGTGAACGAACACATGAAGAAATGTTCAAAATCCCTTGCTCTAAGAAAGATGCAAATAAAAATAATTATGAGATATCATCTCACCCTATTAAGAATAGCAAAATTCAACAGAGTAGCAAACAACAAATGCTGGTGAGGTTGTGGAAAAACTGGAACCCTTAGTCACTACTGGTGGGGGTGTAAAATGGTAGGCAGTACAATGTTTTCTCCAAAAGCTGGAAATAGAAATACCATTTGACCCAGCAATTCCACTACTGGGAATATATCCTCAATAAACCGGACTTGTCATACTCATGTTTATTGCTGCCTTGTTCACAATAACAAAGAGGGAAACAACTCAAGAGTCCATCAACAAACAAATGGATAAAGAAGTTATGGTATATTCACAGAACAGAATATTATGCAGCACTGAAAAACAAAGAACTCATGAAATATTATACAAAATGGGTGACCATGGAGGATATTATGCTGAGTGAAATATCTCAGTCACAAAAAGACAAATACTGTGTAAGACCACTATTATAAAACAGGACTGATAGGAGGTTGGGGGAAAACTAAGAAAAGAGGGAATAAACAATGTACACTGCACTGAAACAGACGAGGGAGAGAACTGTATAAAAATAATATATGTTTAAGTTTAATTGGTATGACAAGGGTTCAGAATAAGAGCTGCATAGTAAAGTGATCTGAGGGTGCAGGTAGGGGGGAACTATATAATAATGAAAGAACTTTTTTCCAAAGAAAAAAGTTAACTAGGGGGGAAGGGAAGCAGGGAGGAAAGTGTGCAACAATGAGTGAATAGAAATCCAAGTTCTTTATAAACTTACAATAAAATCTCATTAAAAAAATAGAAGGTGTGAATCCACTAGAGATGCCTGGTGATCGACTTCTAAAAATTCAACCACTAGAAACTTGTGGAGCAGAGGTGTACTGACATTTATGGGCTTCCTGACTAGATGGAACTGGCTTGTCTCAGCAGCTACAAAAAAAAAGAAAAGAAAAAAGTTAGAAAATGAGGGGGGGGGAAGTTCAAAGACAAAAGTGGAGAGGACAGAAAGGTTGAAGTGGGGGCAGGAGGTAATCACAGGGTCCCTGAGTTTGGTTGTTGGAAAGGAAGGGATGAAGGAATTAGGAAAGATCCAGTGGGGACCTGAAAGGAGTGAGCACAGATTGATGGTGATTGGATTAATAAAACACAATATATAGGAATGATCATATAAAATGCAATGTGAATTAAGGAATGTGTGAAACAGTGTATATGAATGAAACAAAGTGTGTAAGAATTTTGTATGCAAACCAATACAAAATTAAACAAATAAAAAATCAAGAAAGGTGTACATAGAGTTGTAAATTCTATGCATATCTATTCAATCAGTACGCTAAGCAAATTACTTGAGAAGATGGACTCTATGAAGTAGAATATAGCAACATGATTAGAGGAAGATTCATCAATAACCTGAAATATGCAGACGACACAATGTTCCTTGCTGAAAGTGAGGGTTTCTTGAAGCACCTGATGCAGAAGATCAAAGACTGCAGCCTCAATATGGATTGCATTTCAAATTCAAGAAAACAAAAATTCTCACTACTGGATCCACAGTCAACACCATGATATTGTTAAGCACCATCGAGTCGTAGACGACTCATAGCACTCTTATGAATGAAAGACTTGAACACTTGTATCACTTTCATCTTTTCTCTAAGTACATAGAGTTTCCAGAGGCAAACTATTTCGAAAGGGGATGCCACTCCTGCTTCCAAGCCTGTTTTAATCTGGGAACACCACCGAACACTGTCTACCATGGGTAACCATTATCATACTTGACACATCAGTGTCACAGTGTTTAGCATCACAGCAACCATGAGTTACCTCTGAGATGCATCTTAGCCTGTAAATCAATATCATTGCTCCTTGATACCTTGGAGAGACTCTTGACAGCAGATTTACACAATGCAGTACATTATGATAGAATGAGAAAAAAGTTGTAATTGTTAATGACTTTATCCTACTTAGATTCACAAACAATACCTTTGTTATCAGCAGGAGATCAGAAGACATGCTACAGGGGGAACATCTGTAGTCAGGGACCTCTCTAAGTTAGTGAGAACCAATGCAGTTCGAGGACTAAGGTGTGTCTGACTCAGGCCATGGTCTTTTCAATCACTTGCTATGCTGCTGGGAACCCGACAATGACTACAGATGACAGAAGAAAATTGATGCTTTCAACAACAGTGCTGGAGAAGAATATTGAATGAACACTGACTAAACAAGAGATAGTATCTCAGAATTTCTCTGTGGGAGAAAGACAGGCAATGTCCTTCTGTGTCATTTACAACCTCCAAACTTCTGCTGGAGGTCAGTCATGAGTTGGTTCTGACTCAAAGCAATGAGAAACTATAACATGCATATGAACAGAAGGAATATATTATTTCCTCTCTGGTGAGGTGTTTTAACTAATAATGGGCTTCTGACTATTATTACAAAATGAATGACAATGGTGATACATAAATTATGGTGATTACATGAGCAAGATTAATATCAAATGCAAATTATTCCATAAGCTATGCATTAAAAAAGCTATTGTATTGATGTGGTTATGTGCCACTGAGTCAACTCTGACTCACAGTGACCCTATGGGACAACAGCCCTGAATCTTGCTCTATCTTGAGCCTATTTTACTGTCTCTGACATACCTCCTCCACCAGTTATTCAATCAATCCATGTCATTCAGGTTCTTCCTCTCTTGAGCTTTCCAAGCACAATGTCCCTCTTCAAGGATGTCCCTCTTTCAAGGACTGGTTCCTCCTTGTAACATGTCCAAAGTATGTCAGATGGAGCTTCAAAATACCTCAAAGGGAGTACTGCTCAAAGGAGCAGGATGGTCCCACCCTCTCCAGGATGGACCTTTTTGTTCCCTTAGCAGTGCAAGGTATGTTAAATATTCTTCTCCAGCACCACAACTCAAAGGCATTGATTCTTCTTTCACCCACTGTCATTGTTCAGTTCTCTGACAAACAGTAACTGCAAAGACCATGGCCTGGATTAGTAGCCACAACTTAGTCATTGACTAAGTCATGTCAATGACTGACGTCATTGCTCTTCAGCACTCTGGAGAGGTTTCTGACAGCAGATCTGCCCAATGCAATTCATCTTTTGATTTCCTGACTGCTGGTACCAAGAGTAATGATTGTGGAGCCAAGCGAGCTTAAACTCTTTGTAACAATCTTAATGTCTTCACCATCTGTTATGATGCTGCCAATTGGCCCAGTGATGAGAATATTTGCACTGTGAAAGTCAGTAACCATGGATCTCTCCAAATTACTGAGAAGAAATGATACTATTTCAAAGACTAAGGTGTACTTGATTTATATATGGTTTTTCAATCACTTGCTATGCATTTGAAAGCTGGACTGTGAATACAGAGAGAACTGATCGTATTTTTTTATCATATTTGAACTATAGTAATGGAGAACAGTTGTACATAGGGTTTTCAGAGGCCTGCTATTTCAGAAGTGGATGGCCAATCCTTCTTCCTAGTCTGTCTTAATGTGAATGTTCAGATTTAGAGAAATATCAGACAGACCAGCAAGTTAAAGGTATATCCCTTATTGTGGAGTTAACCATTAGAGTCAGTGTTGTCCCTGCCTTTGGCACACGTGTCTTTACCCACTTATTTCCCTGCTCCACCATCCACCAGGATACTCATCCATTTCTACCCATTCCCTTCACATCTCCCATTGACCAGCCCTTGATCTAATAGCTTATATATGAAGCTTCCTTGGCTTCTGTGATTCCAAACACATCAGCTGATGGTAGTTCCTTATGTTGGGATCAATGTCTCTGAAGTTTAGTTGTAATGTTTCCGGAGCAAAGGCGATGCATCCTGTAGAACTGGTGTGTAGATAGGGCTTTTTTTGGCCCGAGGGCCTGCAGCCTGAGGGCCAGAACGAATGCTGTGTGGTTTTGGCATCTTCAGTGTTACCTGAGAAGATGGGCGGGAATGTGATGGACCCTTTAGCTGCCCAGCTTTCTGCCAATCAGGCTCCTCACACCCACTCTGCGCGGTGGCTAT